ATATAAATATTCAAAACTGCCGCTTTTTATCTCCCCTCTCTACATATGGGACATATGGAACACTAGCGCCCTCTTATTTTTGTAAGATTCTTGTTTACATGGAGTTCGGGCTCCTTGTATAAGTCTCCATGATTAAAAAAATCGAAAGAAAAACAAAAAAGGAAAAATATGTTTAAACTGTTACTGTTTCTATGTTTGTTAAAAATATTTGCTTCTGTAAAATTTGATCCATTAGGTTATGTTGTATATTGTCCCTGTATGGGTAAGAGAATAAATTAATAGTAAACGTCAATAACTATTATGAATTATGAAAAATATTTAGGTAGGTTTGGAAATCAAGCTGATCATTTTCTGGGTGCACTAAGTTTTGCACATGGCTTGAACAGAACTTTGGTCCTACCTCCCTGGGTCGAATATCGTTATGGAGAACCTAAATCTATTCAAGTACCTTTTAATACATACTTTAAGGTTGATCCCTTGGAAAAATATCATAAAGTAATGACAATGGAGTTATTTATGGAGAAAATAGCTCCATATGAATGGCAAGAAAATCAACGTGTAGCATTTTGTTATATGGCAAGAGGTAAAAGATTGTTTTCGTTATTTTAACGAAACTAATTAAAACTTATAATTTTAGGTTCAGGAGCGAGCTGTAACGCTAAAGAAGGAAACCCTTTCAAACCATTTTGGGATACATTTAACATTGATTTTATAGGTTCGGAGTTTTATAGCCCATTTCATTATGACATTTATCATGATAATATGGCACAGCAGTGGAGAGAAAAGTATGCACCAACCAAATGGCCAGTTTTAGCATTTACAGGTATTTATTTAAAGAACAATATTGTTGCAACATCCATATAACAGAACCTTGGATTAGGCAATTAATGCATATCTTTATTTCATTAATTATAATATACAGTGTGTTTCAGAAGCACATACCCATAAATCCTAAGTACTATAAAATATTAAAAAATAAAATGATTTTTTGCTGTGTTATGTCCAAGGCTGTCATTTGTTTTCAAGGAACTTAATTTTCTTAACAAATTTTGCCAATATCAACATCGTATTATAATTTGATGGAAATTTTTTTTGAGATACTCTAAATATTCTGGTTTGGTTATGTTTTAAATATGTTGCACAGGGCACTTTATTATGTGCAATTTTGGAATATTTTAGGTTTAGGTCAAAATATTTTTGTGGTTATCCTTTCTAGTACAATTATAAAATTGTACTAGATATAAATAATTATATCAGGCATTATTTCCGTTTGTTTTGTTTTTTATACAAATAAACATTTGTTTAATTTTTACAGATTATAAAGTAGTGATATCACCTATTAAAATAGTTGCAGAAAGTGTTTATACAGGGTGTCCCAGAATAACGTGTACAACTAAAGACCACAGATTCTTGGACTAATTCAACTCGAATACATATTCAATTTTCATTGTTTTTGGGGTGCGGACTTTTGCTACCAATCTATAAATTTTGATGTTATACAGTGTTTTTTAATACTTTCAACTTCTACAAAAATGATGTATGGTGATAATATCCGTTCATAACTTTTTCCTCTTTTGGGCTATTGTTATTATTATAACAACAATGTTTTATTTGATAGGTGATACCATTTGGATGTTTTTGGGTCTCTTGTAGCATTTTTATTAATTGAGTGCAGTGACGGCTCGTCACGTGACGCTTCACCTAAAATTTCCTTTTGGTTGTACAATTTAAAATTATTTTTAATTTTATAAAATTATTTTTAATTTTATATAAATTTTATAATTTAGGTATAATTCTATATTGAAAATGTATTGTGTTTGTTTGTTTAATATGCAGAAATAAACAGAATAGTTGCGCGGTGAACGGCTTCTTTAAAAACATTGCCTTCGTTGAGCGCGAACATCAACCTCGGACCATACAACGTATAGTATACGCAAGTGACGCAGATTGAAGTCAGTCTGTATTCTGCTTCTCTTCGTTGTGCTGTTTACGGCGGTTGTCATGGCAACGAGGCGGCCAACACAGGATTAAACTACGGCGTGCCGCGTGGGGACCGAGTGACGCAGAAATTGAAGCAGCATCGCTCATCGCCTGCCTTTAACAGTTTATATGATACGCGTCGCCCAGTGCACGATTATAACGGTTCTTTGTTAATATTTGTTTTGTATAATTATTCTAGAAATGTTTTCTATGTAATGATCCAGTATGTATTTTATTGGAAACGCCATTTTTCAGATGGAAATTGAGGACGAAAAGGATTTTTTAAATTGCGGGAGAGCTGTACCTTATTTTCTCAATATGGAAAAAAGGGAAAGTCAAAAGACAACGTGTACGTTTGAAAGTTTCGGAATGAATGGTATTCGGAGTATAAGTAGTTGTGTGAAAGTGTTCATTTAAAAAAACTTTTCTGTATGGCGTGTTTAATTGTGGGTGTAAAGTAAGGCGTGTGGAATGAGAAGGGATTTAACAATTTTGGGAACATCACGCGTTGTAACCACAAAGCTTCTTTCGAACATACATGTACGGTGTGCGTTAATGTTCGCAGAAGTCCACAAGTCGAACTAATACTTCTATTTTTTATAAAATCTAAAAGAAAATCCTTCTCACGAACGTCAGTTTTTCAGTAATATTGCAAATGCAACTAAAAATTTCCAGATTCATTTAAAGTCGTTTGACCTTGAAAATTTGAAAATTTTCGCCAGCGAAGCTTTTTTTTCTTTTTAGTCAATCAATGAATATGCTTCACCAATTCTCAATGTCACGAGCCGCCACTGATTGAGTGGATTGAGTACATAAAAATATTTTTTAAATGTATACATACATTATATTACCACCCATATTACAATACTTACAATGTGCTAGTAGTCTCTGATTTTGTATGTTGACTGTAATTTCAGTTTGATCTTTAATTCACTGCACCTACCAATTCTTAATGAGTGTTTACTAATAAGGTATACCACATGCTACTTCATTTTTTGATATGGATACACACATACGACGAATTGAGTTATTTACAACGTGCCTAATTTAACTGAAACAATTCGCAAAAACAATCAAATACAATAAAAATTGCTGGAGATTAAATTTAATACAACTTATTAAAAAACTGTTAAAAATGACCAACATTGTTTCTACAACAAAGGTTAATTCAGCGAAGAAAGTTAAAGGACACCCTTTGCAGTTCTTAAGGGCTATTTTTTAAAACATTTACGGCATTTTCTTCAGTGTTAGATGTGGAAACATGCACTGTTGTTTTCAGAGTGCCACAAAGATAATAGTCGCAAGGTGTTAAGTCTGGTGAACAGAAACCTTATCCCCTGTACCGATCCATTGACAAGGGAATCTGGTTCAGATGCTGCGGGACATTTACAGTGAAATGTGGTGGAGTGCTATCATGCATAAACCCAAGGACATTTAAATAAAGGGGACTATGCATGTCACAGTCTATCTCATATGTTGGGTGAAGCTAGACAAGGGGAAAGCAGAGGGCTTTATTTTCATCCAACTGATGCGCGCGATTACATCACCAACGTCGTACATTTTGGATGGGCCAAAATAAAATATTTTATAGTCCTAAGTCAATATATTTGAACAGCTACTCAGTATTTTTATAATAAGTATATATAATATTTTTATAACTTCTTGGAATCCCAATAACTGTAACCATTTCTTTCTTGTTGCACCATCCCCAAGCATCCAAAAAACGTTCACATTTCACTTTTAGAATACTGAGGCAAATTTTCAGTGAGACATAAAAATATATTCCCAAAGGAGAACATCAAATGGTTGAATGAATGCAACTTTCAGTCGATTGCATCTTCGGTATTTTTATGTATAAGTGAACCACCACCATATTTTTGCTGTTGTATTTATTCAGTTTTTATGCTCGTGCATTTAGTAAAATTGTAAATATATTTTTGAAAAGGTTTTTGTCGTAGAGGAAAATGAAAATGATGAATGATTAAAATTTATAATGTTGGGTATATGGGATAACATTGAAATACCTATAAATATATTAAATATAAATAATGTCTGTAACTTATTTGTGGTTCAGCATTTTCCTTTGATTTTAATGGCCAAACGTGGTTCATATTATTGTTTTCTTACTATTTCAGCAAAAATTTAAAAAAAATACCAAGTCAGTTTTATAAAATTTTACCGTTATTCAAATAAAAGTTACCCACACGCACGACAATGGCCACAGTTGCATATACATTCCAAAGTCACCTTCAAGCACGCTTACCTGTGGAAGGATAGCTGATGTGGATGTTTATAATCCAATTTCTTACAAATTCTGCACTGTCTAACCATATTCACACCTTAAAAGTTTATCCAAAATACATGTATAAACACTAATCACGTTTCACTTACTAAAATCACAACTATTTTCTAACAAGAGACGCCATATTCTGTCAACCACGGCAGAACGAACGAGGAACATGCTACAAATTATTGCGTAGTTGCCAAGTCTTCAAACATGGCAAATATGAAAAATGAAAAATAGTTTAATATGTACAGAATTTAACAATATTGTATGCATAACTTAATAATACTATCCTATAATAATAATTTTCACAATTGTGATGAAAATTGCAATAAAAATATTAAGTACATTTCCAGTATAATTAAACAGCTGACAACAATGATACAATTAGACTGTGAATAGACAAGGCTTCATCTAGAAATGTAAATAAATAAGTCCCCTTTATTTAAATGTCCTTGCATAAACCACATATTAGCTCTGAGCTGAGTAATAATGGCACATTTTCTAATAACTTGGGTTTTTCAAAAATTCTAAATAAAAATTCTCCATTCAGTCTATTGGGTAGAATAACAGGGCTAATAATAATATAATGATTTAAATATGAAATTGAAATTACAGTCAACCTATAAAATCAGAGCTTACTAGCACTTTATTAAGTATTGTAATATGGGTGGCAAGATAATGTATACATTTAAAAAATATTTTATTGTACCCAAACCGCTCATTTAATTAAAATTCTAGAGGCCCAAAAACTTCCAAATGGTATCACCTATCACATAAAAAATAGTTGTCGTTATTGCCCCAAAAGAGGAAGAAGTTACGAACAGATATTTTATCACCGTACATCAATTTTGTAGGAGTTGTAAGTTTTAAAAAAACACTGAACGACACCAAATTTTGTAGATTGAAAGCAGAAAAATCCACAGCCCAAAAATAATCAAAAGTGAATAATACATATTCCAATTATTTACAAAATTCAAAAAATTTTCACGAACTTTGGGGCCATCGAGCGGCCGAATAAAACGATTTCAGATATAGATGAATTAGCCCAAATCTGCCTATTTTGAGTCCACGAACCTGTGATCTTCTGTTGTATACGTTATTTTGGGACATCCTGTAAACTAGGATTGTGAATTAATTTTGAGGGATTTAAAACATTCCATTTCAGCATTTCTAACAAGTAACACTACCCAACCGTCCTACACTACCTAACAAGTAACACTACCCAACCATCATTCACCATTCAGAATGAAACTTGGCACATCGATAGAACTCTAAAAAATATTGAACCCGAATTTTTTAATTTTCTCGGAATTCACTTTCAAGGCGTAGAAACCATCCCTAGAAGGCGGTAAGAGATAAATAAAATTAAATATATATATATTTATCACCCAAACTCACACCAACTAACCCTCCCACTCCAAGGAGGGGTTCCTAAAATAATCAACCCCTTTACTCCAACATCAAATGCCCAGCTAAACCTTTCCATCCTAACTCCACGGCACCCACCTAAACCAACCATACTCTTGCTCTCACCAACACCATCCCTCTACCTAACC